GGTTGTGGGCTCGATCCCCAGGAGGGGGTGTGCAGGAGGCAGCTGATCAATGATTCTCTCTCATCATTGATGTCTCTCTCTCTCTCCCTCTCCCTTCCTCTCTGAAATCAATAAAAATATATATTTTTAAAAAAGACTGCTTATCTTGCACCACGTTTTGTCCCAGCTGCTTCACCACATCATCTCATAAACCCTCACACCAAGCCCATGAGAGGCCTATCATGGGCCAATGTCCCATCCAGCGGCTACTGACCATGGCTGTCTGTCAGCCCCCTTTTTATTTTCCTGAGATAAGCATTGAACAGGAGAAAGTCCTCGCCTTCAGAATTTGCAGTCTAGTTGGGGAGGGAGAGCATAAGCAAACACACACACATTCATAGACAGGGACGTGGGTTTAGACACAAGTGTGAATGTGGAGAATTATTAGGTCAGGGACAGATGACCGCCGTGTCAAATCCTAATTCAGGGTCCAGGACAGGGAGGGGTTGTGGGAGCACCTGCTTTACAGTGAGCGCCTGAGGAGGGTCTCTGAGCAGGTGGCATTGAATCCCGGAGACCTGAAACAGGCGCGGAGGGAGTCCTGTCTGAGGTGTCCTGGGATAGCGTTTCTGGCAGACAGACACACGGATGTGGATGCCCTGAGACGGCATTGTGTTTGGGGTGTTGGAAGCAAAGCAGGGGGTGGGGGGGGCGCTTGGGTTGAGTGAGGGTTGGGGAACGTCAGAGGTCAAATCAAGTAGGGGCTTTGGCGCTTTTCCTAAGAGTCATGGAAGGCTGTCTGGGGTTCTCACCACAGCAGCAACACGATCTCGCTCCAGCAACGTGTGGAGAGAATGAATGAAGGGAGGCAAAGGCCAAGAGTTCGGGGGGGGGGGCGTCGGGGAGAAGGCTGGTTAGGCAGGTGTGTGGAACACGGGAGGAGGATGGTGGTTGCATAGAGAGGTAGCATTGGCAAAAAAGGGAAGCAGCTGGATCCAGGACATATTTCCATGGTGAAGTGGGTAGGATTGGCTGGTGCACTGGATACAGGGTGGGAGGGAGGAACCACGGGTGACTCCAGTGTGACCCCTGCATCTGGCTGAATGGTACTCAGAGGGGATGGCAGGATGAGCAGGTTTGGTGGGAAGATAAAGGGTATTTTTAAAAATCCTCACCCAAAAATATGTTTTCGTTAATTTTTAGGGAGAGAGAGAGAGAGAGAGAGAGTGAGAAAGAAACATCGATGAAAGATACATGCCCCAACTGGGGATCAAACCCTAGGTCTGTGCCCTGACCAGGAAGGGAACCCATGACCTTTTGGTGCACGGGACAACGTTCCAACCAACTGAGCCACCCCCGGCCAGGGCAATGAAGAGTATGTTGATGACTCCAGGTTTATCGATGAGAAAAGCAAGCTCGAACGAGGTTAAGCCAGCTGCCCAGAGTCTCACAGTGAGAAAGAGGTGGGCATTCAATTCAAACCCGGGCATTCCTGACTCTTAAAATGCTCGTCCACTTTCTCTTCACCACCTCTCTGTGTGCCAGTGAATTCTCACGTCTCCAGCTCTCTCTTGAAACCCTCAACTCCGTGAGCAATAGGTTAAAATTAAGAACTAGTTGTCTAGATGTGCATATGGTTTAACTTTCCCAAGAATCGAGACATCTTTGCTTTTTGTATGTTGACTCTTAATTCACGCCGGTGATCTCAGATCTGCCCAACACGCAAACAAGACTGAGACCAACACTCTCATTCAGCAGAGACGAATCAGGGTGTTATGGGTAGAACTGTGTCACCCCACCCAATTCATATATTGACACCATAAACCCCCAAAGAGACAACAGAGATAACTCCCTCTCTTTCCACATGAGCTCAGAGGACTCTACAAGAAGGTGGTCGCCTACAAGTCAGGAAGAGAGCCTGCACCAGACATTTCCTGGAATTTTGAGCATGAACTTCTAGCCTCCAGAACTGTGAAATATTAATGCCTGTTGTTTAAGCCGCACAGTCTGTAACATTCTGTTATGACAGCCCTAACAGATGAATACATAGGATTTCAGGGAGATTTATGTATCTTATCTACAAGTATTCAGTTTAAAAAAATATTTTTTATTGATGTTAGTGAGGAAGGGAGAGGGAGAGAGAGATAGAAACATCAATGATGAGAGAGAATCATTGATTGGCTGCCTCCTGCACGCTCCCCACTGGGGATCGAGCCCACAACCCAGGTGTATGCCCTTGATCAGAATCGAACCTGGGACCTTTCAGTTTGCAGGCGGACGCTCTATCCACTGATCCATACCGGCTAGGGCAGTACTCAGCTTTTGAAAGCAACAAAATACCAGTGAAGGTTGAATGCTTGGTGTTCATCTTCTGCTGTGCATCTATGAAGCGTAGATATCAAACTACTCCCCATAAAAAAAATAGCGGGCAAGTTATTTAGCTAATGTTCCCAACTAAGCAGCAGGAAATCTAGGATTTTAAAGTTAGTCTATTGGATATCGATGCTCATGTATTTCCCACTGGTTTCAGAGCTGGCATTGCCAGCTGACATTCTGAATCCAAACCCAGCGCTATCTATCTTTCTTTTCTTTAGTTTATTTTTCTATCAGCATTTATCCCCCCCCC